ATTACCTATACATTGCAGATTAAATATGAAATTTGAAGATAATGAAATACTTCCATTTACATGGAATGGACTTAAAGTAAATGTAAAAGCAATTATCAGACTCATTTATTTAGTAATAGTAATTCAGGTTATAGTGTTAGTTACCGAGGATTTCAATATACATGTTACGATCATAAAGTAATGAGATTGTTAACATGATGATATTTGCTTTACAGTACCTAGCCAGCCCACCAACCTGCATCCTGCTCGCGTTACGGCAACATCTATTGAACTCAGTTGGACGAGACCTTCTCATCAAGGAGAGAACATCATTTCTTATGAACTGTATTGGAATGATTCTACAACTCAGGTATGAAGAATAGCAAATGGTTTTCAGGTTGCACTTAACTGTGTATGACTTGAAGCAAGGACTCTCAGTATCAGTGGTATCTTTTGGTGTGATATTGTTATTAGAGATTCCAGATAAAAAGGAGTATTGCCATTAACAGTATATGATGACAAAGCAGAAATAGATTGTTAGATGGGTGGATTTCACATTTATTTTATAGTATGTAGTATCTTACGAAATATGAATATTTAATGTACTCCCTTATAGTTATTATGAATCTGTCATGCAAGGTCCATGTTGATAAATGGGACAAAAGACAGAATAGGTGTTTGCGTTAAGTCATCCAGTTTGTATCCAGGGCTTTGTGTGAGTGATTAAGGCATTACCTGCAATAATGAAGGCCAGGAAAGAGTGACACATGCCATTATGCTTTTGTCATGTGGGCTCCAATCATTCCAGTTTCAGATGGTAATTTCATTCAATTAATCATGTAAATTATCCTTTTTTTTGTACAGATCTGCAATGAGAGAAAGTTAATGCATGAAAGATTTGCTGAAGATTATTAGGGCATTCAGAATATAACCAATTATCATATTCAAATAGTAATCTTTGTACATTAATATTAGATATATTTTAATAGCAGCATGAGAGTATGCTTGAATACTTTCTAATCTTCCGCAAATCTTTCCAAGATACATTTGCTGAAGATTAAAATAATATTCATTATGTATCAAATTATCAAATTCAAATACCAGTGTTATGAGGAGGCTATTAAATGGAAAGTATTCAATATTTATTAAATTACAGAGACAAGAGCAACGTAACATTCCGGAGGGCGAGAGCTACACCTTGGAAAACCTGCAGCCGAACACAGTGTACAATCTGTGGCTGGCAGCTCGATCGCAGCGGGGGGAAGGCGCCAGCACTGCACCCATCTCAGTCCGCACAGAGGAACACTGTATGGCAAAAGAGTTTCCTTTACTTTTTGGATTGTGGCGTGATATTGCTTACATATTAGGGATCTAATTTTCTCTCTTTTTGGTTTTTGAGAACCCTTTAGTATTTTGTTAGTCCAGTACTATTTTAGGTGTAGTATTGGCAGTGCAATAACAAGTAATAACAATCTAAGGTTATCCATTATCATTGATAGTGTGAATAACAGGAAAGCATTAATTAACATGCAGTAAGATTTGCTTGATATTTCTCTTTTTTACCATCTGTCAAGGGCTTGTTTTTAGAAATTTATGTCACTGTGCCATATACTGAATTTATTCTGAGACAGCCCTGCTTCACTGTTGAATACATCCTCACTAATTAATTTTGATACAAAAAGGAGTAAATATAAACTGGAAATATAGATATTATTCACTGGAAAGTATACTAGTTACCATATAAAGATTTGGGTTCTATGATTTTTATTACTATTGTTATCTCATGCCACATCCCTTATATTATAATCTCTTTCATGTTAATCTCTTTCATGTTTGCATTTGTAGATGGTAGTGTTGCAATGTTTTACATAGATTAAGTTACATTAGTTGGTTTGGTTTTAAGTTACAAGTTGGTTTGGTTTACCACAGTTATGGCTTAGTCATAACTGTGGTTCTAAATAAGTTTGTCATTTAATTCTATTTATTCAGTAGTAATAACTTCATTGCAGAGTTCTGGATATCATTTTTTTCATTGCTACTATTTCAATTAATGTAATAATGCATTTTACAGGAATATAAAATCACTAGTAATCAACATCATTATGAAATCCAGAATAGTTATTCACTGGGTACAGAATTTGTTTATTTTGCACATCTGTCTGATGCATTTATTTTTTCTTCTGCTTTCTTTTTTGTGACTTTTTTTCCTAAACCATAATTCATGCCCGACATCACTGACTTTCTAGTATCTATTAGTACTAACAGGTATCCAACCCAAGGATAGACTAGCCCAACATGTTCTGGCATGCATACCTATCTGACATATTCACCAACACAAAATCATGCTGAGATATTAGAAAGTCTCCCTCTGTCTCTGTCTGTCTGTCTGTCTCTCCCTCTGTCTCTGTCTCTCCCTCTGTCTCTGTCTCTGTCTCTCTCTGTCTCTCTCTGTCTCTGTCTCTGTCTCTCTCTGTCTCTGTCTCTCTCTGTCTCTGTCTCTCTCTGTCTCTGTCTCTCTCTGTCTCTGTCTCTCTCTGTCTCTGTCTCTGTCTCTCTCTGTCTCTGTCTCTCTCTCTCTCTGTCTCTCTCTCTCTCTGTCTCTCTCTCTCTCTGTCTCTCTTCTCTCTCTGTCTCTCTCTCTCTCTCTCTCTCTCTCTCTCTCTCTCTCCTCTCTTCTCTCTCTCTCTCTCTCTCTCTCTCTCTCTCTCTCTCTCTCTCTCTCTCTCCTCTCTCTCTCTCTCCTCTCTCTCTCTCTCTCTCCTCTCTCTCTCTCCTCTCTCTCTCTCCTCTCTCTCTCTCCTCTCTCTCTCTCCTCTCTCTCTCTCCTCTCTCTCTCTCCTATCTCTCTCTCTCTCTCTCTCTCTCTCTCTCTCTCTCTCTTCTCTCTCTCCATCTCCCTCCCTCCCTCTCCCTCTCCCTCTCCCTCTCCCTCTCCCTCTCCCTCTCTCATATATATATCTGTACACATACATATACACTGATATGATGCATGATAATGGTCATGTCTAACTTGACTATTTCTAATAGTTGTAGTTTTATGTAACTCTAAACTTAAAATCACAATATAAAACTATGTTCCCAGTGTTGATAGATTAATTATAGGCATTAAAGTGTTTGAAGCATCATTACTTTGAAGTTTTATTTCCCATTTGTAAAAACATCATTTATTCATAAAGACAGATAGGAATGCTGCTAAAATGCTGGAGGCTAGAGTTTTCCAATGATATAGGCAGAAAAAGCTTTAGTTTCAATTAGTGACTGGAGGCAGATGGGTCAGCTATTTGCATATGGGTTATTTAGGAAAACTTGAGTTCTTTATTTTCAGGTCAACTGATCTTATTTTTGGGTGTTATTCCATATACCTATGCTTATACATTTTGAAGATTTTGGTTAGTAAACTATGTATGTTTGTGATAGTCTGAGAGGTAGGTAATGCTAAATAGGAGCAGGCGATTGGGAAAGAGAAAAGAATAATGTAAAGAAACACTGGTAGATTTAGTCCGTAAAGGCTTTGGTTTGGTATCATAATTTGATATATGTGTGATGAAGCTCTATATATTCAGGTTTTTCTTGAAGATAAAGGCATTTAGTTTATCAATTTCACTTTGCTTATACTGATAGCAAACATAAAAACAGCTCAGTCGTTGGTAAGGTGAAGATGGTGTCTGTATGTAATGTATTGTAAATATAAGGGTAAAAGATTACTTTTTTGTAGACAGTAATCTTTCTCTAGACATCATGATCCTACTCAAAAGGACTAACAGACCAGCTCAGATCTTATTGCTGAGAGACTTACTGTCAGAAGACCATATATATAGAAGTCACATTTTCAAGTGTAGCAAGTATATATTTCCTTTATCAAAGTAATTTCATGCATTTGTTACAAGCTCCAGTCACTGTAATTTCTACCCTTAATGAAAACAACCAAGAAGCAGATAACAAACAACCATAATATTTAAAGAGCATGCAATGCCTTTGATGTCATGCTTTATGAAATAAGCTCTCTACTCAGTGTGAAAAATATTAATAAGAATATTTTACCATACTTTACAGTCCCGGGTGCTCCTCCCAGCAACATCCGTGCTGCGGCTGAAGACTCAGAGACAATCCATGTGGAGTGGGAACCTCCCCCAGAAGACAAACAACACGGAAAGATCACCCACTACAAACTCATGTATGTCAACAACACACGACCAGATTCAGATGCTTCGGTGATCACAATATCTGACCCCACACAGCGGGATTACCTCATTACCAACCTGCAGAAATGGACGGAGTACAGAGTTTGGATGCTAGCAGGAACCATCATAGGGGATGGTGTCAAATCTGACCCCCAGCTAGTCCGCACAGATGAAGATGGTACGTGTCTAACTGATTGCACATGTAAGGTAACTTGATTTGGAGAAAAAAAGTAAATCAGAGTTGTTTGAAAGGAATCATTAAAATCCTGTTTGGAATGTTGATAGACAAAGGATATTGCAGACCAATTCTTCAGTATTATTCTTCTGCTTTGCTGTCATGCAATAAGCCAGGACTGAGTACTAAAAAATGATTATCACTCTCTTTCTCAACTAGATAATGCTTTTCAGTATTTTGGAAGATGTATCATCAGACATAAATGAACAGCAGATACATGCTCTAGACATTAAGCAACCTGTTACTTTATCCTTCCTCACTGCATGAGCACCATGCACATTTATAATGCACATAGATAATAATAGATTTTGAAATTTGAGGCCATCAGTGCTTGAACAGGCTTAACTAGTCTTTGTAAATGATCTTGGTGGCTTGCTGTAGATTTGTGTGTAAAGCCCAGAGGAGTAGTAGAAGCCAAGAGCAGGGTAAAATCTCATAGGCCTAGAGTGGACTGTTAGCATTGGTGGCCTACCAGACTCTCAACTGTACACTGTCTTCTGTGACCCATTTCTCCTCAGGACAACATCAAACATGCAAACTGTGTAAGGAAGGGCAAAAGGAAATACTTTACCAGGTCACTGGGAATAGTTAGTTGGCTGATGGCATAATATGGTCTGTGATCTTACTAAGGATTTGGGGTTCACTTTCTAAACTTATTACTCAAGGCTCAAAAATAGTCAGTGATAGAACCATCAACTTTGACAAAGTAAACCCAAATTGCAGTAAGAATTCAGGCCATCTGAAGCAATATTGAAGGTAGTTCAACACAGAATTGTATGATGGTTAACCATTCCTTAGGGCTGTTGTTCAGCAGATATAACCTGCAGGGATGATATGCTAGATCCAGTTGAATGCTGAGATATTGTTGCAAATTGTTGCAATTTTCATGAACAGTTATAAGTGATTTAGAAAAATTTTCTCAATATTTAGTTTTCACATTTTTAGATTACATTGAACTTGATCATTTTTGTATATTGGCAAATTTCTCAACAGACAAATAACATTGATGGAGAATTGAGTCTCAGCTTTTAGTTAGAAAATAAAATGGCTAGCTTTGCCTCTAGTTGAAATGGCAAGCGGCTTTGTAAAGGCATAAAGGTCTCCTTGCTCACAGCTGCACAGAGACGACCATGTGCACATGTAGTGATCAGCACAAAACTGTTGCACGAGACACTTACAATATTGATATTCCACACCACAGTCATGGTCGACCCAGAGAGTCCTGACCACCAACCTGGCATTCTTAACAAATTTTGCCTTGGAACTTCTGGCAGTTCTTTCTTTTATTTCCCTGTCACATGAACACACCTTAAATTGTGTATTCTCTAAAATCCTTGTTCAGATTTACATGAATAGTGTAGTGTTTCTTTTTAAATGTTTTTCCTTTTCTTATCAACCCAGATAAAATTGGCTCCTAATATGGTATATGAAAGTTAAGGAGATAGAACTAGTTTTCTCTAATGCAAGTTTTGTTGTAGGTAAAGAAAGTTGTGACAACTTGTTACACTCAACGAATTGGTACAAATCAATCTGTTACCTTATGTATAAGTGAGCCAGTATCAAGTGCTAAGACACCCTGTTATTGTTGCTAATTTTAAGAATTTAAAGGTCTATCATTAAGATAAGTCTTAAAGATACGTATGCACTGTAAAACTCCTTACAACAAAGATATGATCATGTATCATTATAAAAGAATTGATGACATAATGGCACAGACTGAGTCTGTAGTAAGGTGTCACATTATTTTCACCTTTTTTGAATGCTTTATTTCTATGCTAGCTAAAGTCATAAAGCTAAGAATGCCAGAATTTTTATATACTAACCAGACTCCAGAAATCACAAGTAGATATATTTATCACAGCTCCAACAACAAAACTTTCTGTACAGCCTTTCATGAACCTGTTATCAAACTAACACACTTGTTTCCCTGCCCCTTACAAGGATACATTAGTAAGTACAGCTCCCGCCTACATGAGGACAGCCTTGCTCCACCCTAATACATCATGGATGGCCTCCCAACCCTCTCCCCACTATTACAACATAGTAGAAAATTTTTCTTCACAATTACAAGTTACAATATTCACCCAGTTCAAACCTGTCAAGAAATTGATTGGCACAAAAAGTGAAGCAATCAAGTTCATAAACCTGTAAGAGAGACAAAAATGAAGAAATAGTGATCCACTTGTCAGGTCATGTATTAATTAGCTCCCAGAATTGCCCCTTCTTGAACATGGATAAACAGTTCCTTAACCTTCTCCTGCTCTTCACTGTAAACACCGCTGGCTCACAAACCCAAGACATAATACCATACCTTCTGTTCCTCTGTGCTGTTTTGCCTCCTGGGAAAATGAAGATGAAGGAGATTCATGTTTTTGGTGCCATATGCTTAGTAAATGTACATTTTTACTATTAGCAACAAGTAAATTACACATAGGATAATGTTGATAACAGCACTTGTGCAGTCCTCTCTCCAGTCCTCATAAACACTGTAATTCCTTAATTTACTACACTAGTGCCTAGGTAGCAGTAAAATTTATTTCTAAACCAACTATAACCTATATTACTAAGCATATTCTTGCCCCAAATTGACTTGACACAAACCCTTACATGTTCCCACCCTACAGCACTTGATTCCCTTACCCTTCAGTGTAAAGTATAAAACAAGTACCTGTGATAGGTGTCTCCTTCAGCTGCAGAAGGAATGTTTCCTTCAGAGCATCTTGTGGAATTCTTTTTATCTCAGCTGATGCAAGATAGCACATTAAAGCAGTTGTTAGAGAAATGTATCTCATTCCTCTTGCTTTAAGATTGTTTGTTCTGACAGTCCCTACAATAGGCTTGAAGAGCTGCTAATGGATGTACAGTACATATCCTGTATCATTGGCTGTTGGACAAGTTCCTCTGCTAGCTACTGTAGGATATCTTGCACTGTAACTGCTGTAGGGTGGTTTTGCTGCAAGTTATTGTGCATCTGAAAACCTCCCCTGAGCACGGTGTAGCTGGTCTCTGTAGTTACTGTTTCTTTTCGTGCTCTTTCTTCCATAGTTCTTTAGGTTGCTTAGTATTTATCTTTTGTTGCCACTGCTTTACACTCACTGTCACATGCACCAAGCACCACACTGTCTCTGTACTTTTCGTCTTTCCCTGTCTCTCTCTTCTTTCTTTCGCTCAATCTTCATATATATATTTATATATAAATATTTATTAAAACTAAACTTTCTTATCTGTCACTTTCTCTTACATCTATTACCTTTATCTACTCTACTCTCCTGCATGAATTATCTTTTCCTTCTCAACACTTTGTAGCAGATAATATGTTGGATGGTGTAAAGAAAAAAAAGAAAAAGAAAAAAAAACTCAGGTGGGATGTTGGCAGGCTATTGATGGCATTGTTTCCATTTTTTCCTCTCTTGCCTTCGATTGACAGCTAAACCGCTGCGTAAGTATACCAGGGTTTGTAATGCTATGTAGTTGTGGTGCTAGTAAGTGGTGTGAATTTTATTCTTACTTTTAATGCCATTTGTTTTCAGTTTCTGATACTCTAGTTTTATGACTTTTTGTAGCTTAATTGCTTTCATCTTTTTTTTTCATTTATTTATTTATTTTTTTGTCTTTTGCACTGTTCAAGATAAGGAATTGGACTTACAACATAGTGTCATGCATAACTATTTAGAATTGTCTTCAAAGTAAGGGAATTACTTTGACTGATATGGTGTACTTGTTGCATTTTTTCAATTATAGATGTTTCTAAGGTAATGTTTTTGTCTGTTTTTTCTTTGTATCAGTGCCAAGAGGCTAGATTCAAAGCAGTCTGCTATACAAATACGTAATAGGGTAGACTGCAGATTTTGTCAAGAATGTTATGCAATTCCATTCCAGTCAGAACTGATAATTATACATGGCACCATTTTAAAATTCTTGTAAGAGAGTTGCATGTATGTCGTGTCATCTGCGAGGTTTGGTGGAATGTTTACTGTGAGACTGTCAGTTGACCAGTCCAGCCTTTCCTCCTACCCAACTAAGCTGTGTGTCGTTCCTCTCTTATCCTCGCCCACCTTTCTCATCCTCTGATTACGTGCAAGAAAGGGGCTGTCTTTCCACTCACATAGTATTTCCTTTACTGTAGTCAGAGTAAATTAATCAGCATTTCTATCCCCTATTCAACTTGAAATGTGCTGTTTGTTCTATAGAAGCTATGTAAGTATTTGATGTGATTTTTCCAAAGTACAGTTTCAGGTAATGCGCTAACCCTTTGGAAAGTCAGGTAATATAATTCTTAGAATCCCTCCCCAAATGTTTTATGATTACCAAAGGAAGGGAACTGAGAAGTCCCAGTATTTGCTAAGGTCTCCCAGTATTTGCTAAGGTGTACCAGTATTTGCTAAAGTATCCCAGAGAATTTTCCAAATGGAGCTTAAGGGATACAAGTGTCTCGAGATGTCAAGTAGATTTTGTTGTATTTTTTCCTTTTTTTTTTTTTTTCTTTTTTTTTCTATATTTTACTGTCTTCATTCTCAGGGTCCTTAGGGTGTGGTGTGTCAAATAAAGTGTTAAGTATAATGTTGTCATAAGGGCTGAAATTAGTTTGATTGACGATCACGGTATCTCACATGAGGCTTTGTAGGCTGCTCTAGAAGTGGTGTGTTGCTTTTCATTATTATTATTTTTTTTTTGAGGACTATTTTTTTTTTCTTATTTTTATTCATCTCCTTGTTATTGTACATTGGAACAAGAGCAGAGGAGGTGTACTGGTATTGTCTTCTTATGTCTACTACATATAATTTGAATATGCAGACTGGTTTTACAGATAAAGGCAAATGGTCATTAGCAGTTTTCAGATCTGGAGAGTACATTTTTGGTGTGTGTTTCTGAGAAAAAGAAAACAAAAAACTTTTAGATGTAAATATCACTGGAGTTCATGTTTATTATAATACTTTTCTTTTCCATTGCTTAAGCATCACGGGTATATGCAAATTTTTCTTTTACTGTGTAAAGGCTGTACTGAAGCCATGTGTGTATTCTGTTCTGAGAGATTTTTAAAGAAAAGTTACTGTACTTTGAAAGTTATTGGGATAAAATTTCTTGGCATTATTTTCTATCTAATAGACTACATCTTCATGAGCAATGGTATGTATCTCTCAGTACTTCCACTGTGTTTGAATTGTGTTAGGGTCTAGATGTATAGCTGTTTCCTGTATTACTTTACATTTTGATGAACAAAGTAAAAAGTTGATATATTTGGTGGTGCTGGCTTTCAGGCATCCTTTTTTGTACCTTAAAAAGAGGATTCTAATCTTTCTTTACTGTCCTCATAGTTCCTGGTGAACCACGCAACGTGAAGGTCGAGGTCATCAACAGCACAAGCATTAGGGTCACTTGGACGCCTCCTAACGAGGGGGAAAGAAACGGCATTCTTCGTGGCTACCAGATCCATGTGCAGGAGATTGAAGGAAGGGTGAGGAGAGATGCTTTGTCTTTATAAAATGTTCTTCATGGTGTGCAGAGACTATTAATTTCTCTGAGATTTGCAAGTGTGCCAGGGCCAGATACCCATTAGTCACAGGTCATTTTATTACCGAGCTTGTAACTTCAGTATTTAAATGTACAGTAAGTCCCCAACTTAAGAACATAATGGGGACCAAGAGGCTGTTTGTAAGTTGATTTGTTTGTATGTTGAAAGTCGGGTCTCCATTACCTTTTTTCCCATTGTTTTAAAGTTTTATTTACATTAAGAATACTTGTAAATAATTCCCAATAAGTACGACATACCTTATACAGTACCAGACTCTTGAACTATACTCATAGCCAGGAAATTTGAAGTTTGCTAGCATTTTTCAAACAATTTCTTGGACTTCAGTACATAAAAAAATTTGTTTGTATGTATGGAATGTTCATAAGTAGAATGTTCTTAAGTAGGGGACTATCTGTATAGTAATATTTTATGATATTCCCAAAAGGCTAATCTGATTTTTTTTTTTCCACAGGGAGGCAGTATGATTATTCCTGGTTCCATGCCATACACAGTACACAATGGTGAAGCAACAAGTTATGTGGTTACTGATCTGCACCCTGACACAGAGTATCAAGTTCAGGTGTCAGCTATAACAAGAAAAGGTGATGGTGAGAGATCATTGCCTACAAAAGTGCAGATGCCAGGTGGTGTGCCCAACAAACCTGCTCTAATTGTGAAGTAAGTTCACTGTAAAAAATTATGTATACTATAAAGTGTTGTAAAAAAGTTGACCTTTTGGGAGTCCATTATATTTTCTATGATAAAACCAAATGAAGGATCAACCACTAGATGTCAGTAAATATAGTCTAATTTTTTATGATTGCATTTTTGGTAATTCAGAGTAGCTAATGTTATTACTCTTTGTTTCAGTGGCACTATTGATAAAACTAATGGAAGGCTGTCTGTTTTCGTTGAATGGAAAACTCCAACTGAGACTTATGGAGAGATAATGGGTTACCGTTTGAGATATGGACCGAGAGGTAAGCCTATAGACAACAAATTTGAAAATGATCATTATGAAGGTTTTGATAACATGAATGTATTCACTTGGTATACTTTTTTCTCTCATATTTTTATGAAACAGTTGGCTTCAGATGGTTTATATTTCTTTTTATTTCACCAAGGAGAAAAGCTAAATACTGTCAGTCTTGAGGGTCGCTCCATGCTGCACAAGACACTTAATGATCTGCAGAGGGGAATCGAGTATGAGATCCGTGTAGCTGGTCGCAACCACATAAACTATGGTCAGGAAGCAGTTGAATATTATATGACTCCTGAGGCACCACCATCTGGGCCTCCCACCAACATTACTTACAAGTAAGCTTGACACATGTCCTATGTTGGCATTTAGTCTTTATTACAGCCTAGGATGCCTAGTGTTTCAGTTTCATTTGCACATACCTTTCTCTTTAGATTTTTATTTTTTTATTTTTTTTCTATTATGCTTGAACTAGACTAGGTTACACTTTAAAACAGATAGAAACTTCTTGGCACTTTTCAATTTTTTTTTAATATTTGCTTTTCAGTTGAAAACTTCTTTTTTCCTTCTTTTTTGGTTCATTGTGATTATACTTTGGAAACATTTCATTACAGATACCAAACTCCTGGCACTATTGTTTTCACATGGGACTTACCTAAGCCTAATGAAAGGAATGGAGTTATTCATATGTATGATGTGCAGTTCAACAAGAATGTGATATTGAACAATGACTTCAAACATGAGAGAAACACTACTGAAGGGAGAATAGTCTTTAATGGTCTAGAGGAGAACATGGATTATACTTTCAAGGTATGTTTTATTATTTCTGGTGGACAAGTTTGACATTTTTATAGTAATGTGGTCATTTACATAATGTATTGCTGGCATGCTGTACTGTTATTTGAGTTGTAAGGGAACTGAAAAGAGAAAGAAGTGTTAACAAATTTATGCCCTTATTTTCCAGGTTCGATCTTGGACTTCAAAGGGCCCTGGTCCTTACAGTGAGATTGTACACTTACACACAGAGCCTGACCTTGTTCGAGCTCCCATGTCCCTTCAGGGACTTGCCACTTCAGAATCCTCTATTGAAATATGGTGGGAACCCGTTCCTTCTCGTGGGAAAGTTATAGGATATCAGGTATGTATACACTTGAATGCATCTGTAGTAAAAGTGTTATTAGTATGAAATATAAATGATGAAATTTGTTGCCATTTGCCTCAGGATTATGATAACTAATCTTCTCTTGCCAGGTGTTTTACACAATGGCTCCATCAGCCGATTTGGACCTGTGGACTCATATCAAAGTTCCAGTAACCCACTCGGCTGAACTGCAGAACTTGGAACGCCATGCTGAGTATGCTATTGCAGTAGCTGCCAGGACTGCAACAGTAAGTACTTTTTATTAGCAATAAATTTTAATGAGATGCTGAAAAGTACATACTACATGTATTTCATATAGGCATTAAAAGAGGTCGTCAACAGATGTGAGTATTATTTATCACCATTGATAATAGCCTTTGAGTCTAAAGGATGATGCAGTCATTAATATAAATGAAGGCTAATTAGAGAGTCAAGTACTCTAAAGCATGAAAGCGGAATTGTTATGGTGGGGCCTAATGGGTTCACAACCAGATCCCTATCTTAATTGTGCAATAATTCAGCCATCCTCATTTATGCACATGATTAAATTGATAAGTCTGTACATTTCTTTGCTCTTTGTAGCACATCCAACTAATTTGATACAATTTGTTGGACTTTTCAGGAATTCATTTTGACTAAAATATATTCAGATAGAGATTATAGACCCTACTTTGTTACTTTCTGGAGATTGGTTATTAAAATACCTTTGGTTGATTCTAGAGAGAAATTAAACAAATTTTTCTCTTTCCTAGGGATTGGGTCGCTTGTCAACAATGCTACCTGTACGTGTGAAACCAGTGGACGTACCAATGTACCTGCGCGCTCATCATGTCACCACACACTCTGCAAATCTAACTTGGGGCCCACCTATTCAGCTGAATCCTTTGCACTTCAAGGTTAGAAATGACAGACAGTCTTGTACAAGGATTCCTTTGTTTATACAAGATTTCACATTCTCAGTATTCCAATTTGTCTCAAGTATTAATGAAATACATGAGTACAAGAAAAGTGAGACTTTCTTTTTCACTCTTCTTACCATGGAAACGGTAAAAAAAAATTATTCATTATTTGAAATGTTGATAAATCTAATTCACTGATCATCCTACTTACCAGGTGACCTATAGTGCAGTGAAGGAGTTTGTTGATGCTCAAGGTGTGACACAAGTCCAGGAGATTAGTGTAACTACCAAAATTGTGAATAAGCGTAAGCACAGCTTCATCATAGAGGATCTACGTCCCTTCACTACCTACACTGTGAATGTCACTGCTGTACCACAGACCCAAGAGTACCGTCCACCTGCTAAGATCACTGTAACGACTCAGATGGCAGGTAAGGTTTTCGCAGTAATGTTTGGTAAGGAAGTATGATTATTTACATTAGTATTAAACTTACTGATGGCAGCAGCAGCAGTAGTAACAGAAGTAGTTTCAGTACTAACAGCACTACAACCGATGGTAGTGTTGAAAATGGTAGCAGTGACCATGAAATTTCCTTGCTATGATGTCTTTATTTGAACTTTCTAGGTTCTGATGACCTTATGCTTTCGTTCTAGCTCCTCAGCCAATGGTGAAGCCTGACTTTTATGGTGTCAATGGTGACCATGAGATAGCCATGATCTTACCTCAAGCGTCAGAGGAGTACGGGCCAATAGCTTTTTATTACCTTATAGTTGTGCCCGACGACAAACTCCATGCCTTTAAGAACCCTGATCAGTATCTCACGGATGATGTAAGTATATGAGAAACACTGTAGAATGTTATCTGTGAACTGAATAGCATACTGTCAACTTGAAATATTCTCATTTTGTACAATATTAGCTAGCTTCAAGAAGAGCAAAACCAGATGATTTAAGCATGTTTGGTGGAATATACAATACATGTTAAGGTGATTAAGCACTAGTTGTAAAGTTTATGGAAAAGCCTTGTGAATGATACAGATTAAAACATATTAGCAATAGATATAAACTGGTGGCATGTCAACTTTTCTTGATACCAGCTTCCTCTCCCTGAGCTTTTACCTTTGCACTCTGATCCTTGCACAATTTTTTCCAGTTTTTTGAATCGTTACACCAGATTTTTACTAGCCATGTGTTTGCACTGCAAAACATTTTTATTTTTTTTATCTTTTTTTTTTTTTTTTTTTTTTTTTTTCATTTTTTCACTCTCCTTTCCAATCAAATCCTACTTTCCTTCATGCATCCTTTCTTTCCCCAATCTATCCATCCATCAGGCCTTTCATTGCCCCCAGATTCCTCAAAAAGGATTGATTTCTACAATATTAACTTTCTATTTTGTTAATCAATTCCTGTATCTCATTGCCAAACATGATTATAGGGCAAATCACTTCATCACGCTTCATCTACACCTGAATTACACAATCATGGTGTGAGTATTGTGTTTCTTGATATTCAGCAGAATCTTGTATTCTCATAAGAAATACATACTTTACAGGCTAAAGTATAATATACATACTTATAATATCACTCCTAAAAGTTGCCTACTTGCTAATGATAATCTAAAGATATTATCTACTGGTGATGTAATAATATCTAAATAATGCTTAGAAGATTAATCCAAACCAAAAGGGTTAATCTAAAGCAACAGTGGAGTATCCATTTGCCTTTATACATAAAATTTCCCCCTTCTCTACAACCTAGTGTGATTGAGAATATCTTCACAATGCTTTGTTTCAGAAGGGGACTAATAGTGATGCAAATAAAATTATTGCAGGAAATGGACTGAGTGCAAAGGATTCTGCTGCATATACCTTGTTTAGCATGTATGCCTTGTTTAAACAAAATCTTGTATACTACTATATTCCACCTTTTAGGTATATGAATTATTTAAGATTTTCAGTGGGGATTCAGAAAGTGTAGTAAAAAAAAGAGAGAGAGAGAGAAAAAAAAGGTAATGGAAATATACTCTAAATTCAAAAATAATCTGGTAAACATATAACAACAACATAAAACAAAATGGTATAGAATTCAAGCAGATTAATTTTGAATACTCAATGTTTTGCAGCTCATAGCCAATAAGGCTGGAAGCAAGGAAGCGCTAGCTGAAGGACCCTACATTGCGGCCAAGTTCCTACATCGCAACATCCCATATTCCTTCTCTCTTGGTAATGGTCAGATTTATGAGGGATTCAAGAACAGACCGTTGCAGAATAACAAGAGGTATTTTTGAAATGACATTTTGTGTTTTGTGTTTTTGGTAAAGATTTTATAGCTTTTTACTGTCTGAAGTAATTGCAAAGTGATTAATATTATATTCTTTTTCCCCCTTCCTGAAGGTACAAGATCTTCGTTAGGGCCATTGTCGACACTCCTGGACAGGTATGTCTTTTCAGAACAAAGTTTTGATGTGTATGTTATTAATGCAACATTTCCGGTATATGCTAAAAAATGGTTCTTTGTACTATTTAAAGTTTCTGCTGTTAATTCTCTCTAGTCCTAACAAGTGTCACCCATTACCTGATGTTTTATATCTCTGCAGCACCTCTACACTTCATCACCCTTCTCGGACTTCATCTCATTGGACATGCGAGCTGCACCCACAGGGAAGCTCCCAGAGCGCCCGAAGCCCATTTCTGAAAGTAATGGAACAACTGTCCCCATTAAGGGCCCTGGGAATGATATGGAAATGCTCATGATTGTTGGTCCTGTTATTGGAGCTGTCCTGCTGGTGGTCATATCTCTGTTCTTATTCCTCTTTGTTTGGAAGTGAGTTTTATTGTTCTTTTGAAAATCAGATTTGCACATAACTTTATATATTGACATATGAAGATATTTTCTCTTGTCTTACTTTTTTTATATTATTTCTTTAAAGTATATTCTGTCAAGATAGTTGAGTGATGATACTTAGTAATGGTATTTCACAGGCCAACTCATAGATAATATTTATTTACAAGTGTGCTCATAACCCTCACCTTACCAGGCGCCGCAGACAGCCCAAGTCCCGTGACCAGGCTCAGGTGACAAAGCCCTTGATGGCTGATCACGGTGGTGGCCATGTGGGGGGAGGAATCGGCGGTGGTGGAGGCAGCGTTGGCGTGATCCCGGCTGCTCCCTCCGATCCGGTGAAGATGCGACGACTCAACTTCCAGACCCCAGGCATGATCTCCCACCCTCCGATCCCCATCTCACAGCTTGCCGAGCATATTGAGAGACTCAAGGGCAATGACAATCAGAAGTTCTCACAGGAGTATGAGGTAAGGATGTCTTGTGTTTTTGTGAGTAAAGGTCAGTGGCAGTTTGAATGAAAATTAATTCATTCAGATATTTGCATGGAATGTTGTTAATCCTTGAGGGTGTTGTCACCTTGTGCATTGAAGTAGATAAGGTGTATCAATACACGAAAGATGTTAGTATCAACTTTAATTAAATTTGTACAAGAAATTTATTTATATTTTTGAATATTTGCAAATCAAAATCTACATTTGGAGACGAAAAAATCCTCGCATGAGCATTGCTAAATATAGTATAGAATTATGATTCCAGTGACCCTTGAATTCACTCTGCTCATGGCTATAAAAGCTATTTACAAATGGGTGACATATATTTTCTTTTCAGATTTTTAATTCTCTAACTGGAGATATTCATGCATGTTTCTATACTATTTTCAGTCAATTGAGCCTGGACAGCAGTTTACTTGGGATAACAGTAACCTTGAAGTCAACAAACCAAAGAATCGTTATGCCAATGTGATTGCATATGACCACTCAAGAGTTGTTCTTCAGACTCTTGAAGAAGTTCCAGGAAGTGATTATATCAATGCCAACTTTTGTGATGGCTATCGCAAACAAAATGCGTATATTGCCACTCAGGTATGTATTAATGTATCCCTGTCCTGGCATATATAGTTACTCCTTTATAGAAGGTTATGGGTCACAGGAGGAATTTAGCTTTTCATCTGCTATTATCATTCTACCAGAGTTACATTTGCATAGAAGTCAACTTTAGAGAAATGCTGATGATGTACTGAAAAAGTCTATGATTTAAATACAATTTGCTTTAAGTTGAGAAAAGTGAATGCCTGATCATTTCATTTTGATTTTCAGTCTGCCATTTTATGTAATGTTCACTTGATATTCATAGTATTTATCATATAATCTAATCTATATGTGTAATTCTTTAAGGGTCCACTTCCGGAAACTTTTGGAGACTTTTGGCGCATGTGTTGGGAACAGCGCTCTTGTACGATTGTGATGATGACTAAGCTGGAGGAGAGAACTAGGATCAAGTGCGACCAGTATTGGCCTGGGAGAGTATCACAGACAGAAACTTATGGTATCATGCACATCACCCTGACTGACATTCAAGAGCTAGCCACCTACACTGTGAGGACTTTCCAGTTACAGAGAGTAAGTAAAGCACTTTGTTTTACCTTTTTATTTAATTAACACTCACTGACATGCCTGATCAGTAATGTAATGGGATCACTTTATAAGAATAACATATTTTTGTGCTCATACACTCTGTCACATTGAGCTGGGAAGTTAACATTGTTTTGTGTAAGAGGATTAACAAAACTTAGTGATAATATCAGTAGTGTTAGTTTAAAATCCCTGAATTTTCATGTGCCTCAGTTACTTATTGATTTTTCACTACAGTCTGGCAGTTTGGACCGACGTGAAGTGCGGCAATTCCAGTTCACTGCCTGGCCTGACCACGGCGTTCCTGACCACCCAACACCATTCCTCATGTTCCTGCGGCGAGTGCGACACGTCAACCCACCAGACTCGGGACCAATTGTCGTTCACTGCAGGTGTGAACTGTTTTTTTTTTTCTTCCTTGTAGAATTAGATAGTGGTATTACTGTAGTTATCCACTTTTATTATTCTTTACACTAAATTACTAAACTTAGCAGAGAAGTAATCTCAGTCGTGTTGTACTTTTCAGTGCTGGTGTTGGCCGAACAGGAGCTTTCATTGTCATTGATGCCATGCTGGAGAGGATAAAGCATGAACAGAGTGTTGACATCTATGGACATGTGACTTGTCTGCGTGCTCAAAGGAACTACATGGTATGACACAGAAGATATCTGTTTTGTGTTTTTTGTGTGTTTTGTGTTTTTTGTGTGTGTGTCTCACACACTTAGGTGATGGCTAGATTTCTTTGTATATTTAGTAATATTCTGCACCACCTATGACTATCATTTTTCCCAATTTTTCTGCAAACTTCTTATTGTTTACATTGATTTTCAGGTCCAAACTGAAGACCAATACATCTTTATACATGATGCCCTCTTGGAGGCTGTGATGGCAGGGGCATCAGAGGTGCCAGCGCGCAGCTTACACTCGCATATCCAGAAGTTAATGGCTGTTGAAGCTGGTGATACTGTGACAGGCATGGAACTGGAATTTAAGGTTAGCAAATCTTCTTTTTCTTTTTCTTGTTTTGGTGGGGGGAGGGGTGTTTTTAATTCCTCAGAGATGAAAAAAGAAAATAAATAAAAATCTCTTTTCTGTTTGTGATTACACTTCAAAAGGAATGTAAAAGGTAAATTAATTTAAAACTAAAACCGTATAGAATAAAGATAACTTTTATTACCCACAGCGTCTAGCAAACATCAAGGCCCAACCATCGAGGTTTGTTAGTGCCAACCTGCCAGTCAACAAATTCAAGAACCGATTAGTAAACATCCTGCCATACGAAAGTACTCGTGTTTGCCTTCAGCCTCTCCGTGGCAGTGAGGGCTCAGACTACATTAATGCCAGCTTTATTGATGGCTATAGGTGAGTTTTTGGATTTGCTGTTATGATTGCTAAAAGGCAGTTCTTTTGTTTTTTCTGTTGTTTGTTTATTTGATATTAATACAGAAATCAAAGTGCTACAAATAGATGGGAATTATATTGTCAGAATGAGGTACTATCCAATATTTATACTTTTTTTCTAATCAATCATACACTATATCTACAAATTTACTTTCCAGGTATCGCTGTGCTTACATTGCAACACAAGGTCCATTGCAAGAGACAGTTGATGACTTCTGGCGGATGCTTTGGGAACACAACTCCACCATTGTTGTCATGCTCACCAAGCTCAAGGAGATGGGCAGGGTGTGTTATCATAGTGTTTTTAGTTTTACTGTATATTATAGTGGGTAATGAAGGTAAACGCTAATCGAAAGCATATATTTTCTTCATATCTGTAGTGTATTCCTATTCCTTATGCCATGTATCTGATGAAGTTTCTTCTGGGCAGTCAAAAATACAGGGAATATGTGAATCACTCTTAAACCCAATGCTGCCTGGAAAAATGAGTAAGAAATGGGGAAAATGCTGTACTCATTTTCTATATTTTTTGTGAAATGTCTCTGCACATAGATGGCTCTGCTAGTGCTTAGCCACAAAGGGGTCAATTAGTAGACCTTGAGACCTTACCTGATATGAATTGGTGGGAAAAATGTATTTTTTCCTAGTGCTATGAATATCGATGGTGTTATTTTTATTATAAACATTATAATTACTATAAGGTTATAAACATTAGTAACGGCAAAATAAGATAATGTAAAATATTCTTGTAAGTCAAAGAAAGGGATAAACAGCTGAGACAGGCAGTACTCATAATTGGCTCATTGATGACTTAGTACAAGTGTAGCCATCTATGTGTAAAAACAATCAAACAAGTAACTCACAGTGGGCATGGCACGTACATACACATCATGCCCGTTGGCATTGGGTTAAGGCCTATGGGTAGTAGAACACACATTTTTAAAAAAATTTGAACTCATGAACATTCATCTTTGACCACTTTTTAATACTTTGTATGGGGACATTCAAAAACAAAGATTGATACCAAATTCCCTTGTTAGGAAGTGCAATTAAATATAAGTCTTTATTGCAAACAATCTGATTTCTTAATTCTTTGGTGATGGATGGGGAAGCATAACAGTGCAGAATTGATGACTATCTGGGGAGTTATAGCAAACTTATATATTTGTACTCTGATACAACTTCAGATTACTGGACCAAAGTATAAAAATAATATTACCTGTGTTGGCCAAAGTATGGTTCTAATTCTGTACAAGTACCTCAAGTCGAGAATTATGTGTGCTGAGGGGATTACTAACAAATGTATTTTCTTTTCTTTCTTTTTTTTAGGAAAAATGTTACCAGTACTGGCCAAATGAACGTTCTCAACGATACCAGTTTTATGTGGTGGATCCAATAGCTGAGTATAATATGCCTCAGTATATTCTCAGGGAGTTTAAGGTACAGTATGCTTTTCTAAATTGTTCATATATTTGAATATTTAAGTGTGGTATTCTTCTGTTAATATTATATGGTTAGTTTTCAGAATCAGTAAATGCTATATTAGAATACAGTTTGAAAATGTATCGAAGGTTGTTTAATATGATGCAGTTTGGAAGATACTTGATATGTGTTATTTGTATCTACACCTTTTGGTGCTGGAGTTCAAGCTTGTAAGGTTAATGACATAGAGAAATTATTCGTTGTTTATTTTTATCATTTTGCTCAGGTTACTGATGCTAGAGATGGACAGTCTCGCACCATACGACAGTTCCAGTTTATTGAATGGCCAGAGCAGGTGAGTTTCCTTCAGTACAGTTAAAAGCTCTTGACTGTAAATTGTTCTCACTTAGCAGTTAAGAATTAATGTTGTACAGGAACACTTTTGTGCTCCTTTATACCATTTACATAATGCTTATCTTGTTCATCTTTGTTTGAACAGTAATATATGTAAAACTAAAACCAATAGAAACATTTTTTTATTGATTACTAAGGATTGTGTGTCTGTTGACAGCCAAGGTTATTCAATCAATTTTTTTTTTAATAGAATAAAATAACTCAATATATTGAAACCATTAATTGCATGTCATATATTTCCTATGTACATATATTTGATTTCGCTAATGCTGTGCTTTCACATGTTATTTTCCTTCTGTAAACCAGGGTGTGCCAAAGTCTGGAGAAGGGTTCATTGACTTCATTGGCCAAGTGCACAAGACAAAGGAGCAGTTTGGACAGGATGGGCCCATCACTGTACACTGCAGGTAATGCTAAAGTGAACCATTAAGGGAAATGTATGCATATGCTAATGTTTTTGAGCATGGCAACTTAGGTTATGGTTATGGTTTAGTATTCATTGTACTAAAAAAAAGAAAAAGAAAAAAGAAAAAAAAGAATGACACTGTGAACTATAAGATGATTGATGGAAATACAGATAATTATATTTTATAGTAAGGTAAATATATAGCTGCTATTAACTGAAAGTCATAGCAACCTTTGGATTATTGCAAGAACTAAAATTCAAAGCAGTCAGATTCCACAAGCTTTCCGAGAATCAAAACACGCCTACCTTTCCTGACAACTTCCTTGCTGTTTCAGTGCCGGTGTTGGACGTACCGGTGTGTTTATCACCTTGAGTCAGGTCCTGGAGCGCATGCAGTATGAGGGTGTTGTTGACATGTTCCAGACCGTCCGCAACCTCCGCACACAGCGTCCTGCTATGGTGCAGACAGAGGTGAGAAAAAAATTGATCAGCCTTTTTAAATTAGTCGTTACATACCCACTACAAGTGATTATTCTTTATTGTAATTCTGAGTTCATGCTATAATGATTTTTTTGCTGGATCAGGTTTTATCTGTAGCATATTTTCATAAATTTTCAGATATGTGGTTCACAGAGAGTTAGTGCTCATTAAACCTTTTGGGAATATAATTAGTTTGAATATCTGTAACTTTACTTTCCTTGGAATTAGTGATATGTAAAATGACAGACACCATTTTTTTTCTTACACAAACTTGCTAATGTACTTAACTTCATTGTTTTAGGAGGAGTACAGGTTCTGCTACTTGGCCAGTCTGGAGTACCTAGACAGTTTTGATCACTTCGTAGACTGACTATCAAGGCCTGCCGGCACTCGCCTGCAATCTGTGTGGACCTGAGAAAACAATCAGGCTAGCTCGGGTGCTAGAGTAAGCAAATAATTGTAGGCAGTTAGTGGTGATAAGTTGCACTAGAATGAACCATTTATCTCTGTGCTGCAGAGGTGCTCTCTCTAGAAAAAAGCAGATACTGTGTTGTATCTTGCTAAGAAAGAAATATTGGGCTCATTCAAAATAATGATAAGGCTGGTGTGAAAGAATTTTCTTGTAGTGAGACTTTCTCCAACTCCCCTGAGTTAGCACTACAGACACTTCATGAATGGCCAAATGCAGATAGTGCAATAAGTTTTATCATATATTTAAATATCTGATTTATATATTTAAAAGAGTTGAAATCAAAAAAGTTATTATGTTGGAAACTCGCACCCTCCAAGATGTCATTTCCATGGAAACTAAACAAGAGACAGTGGACGACTTGCTTCTTGTTGACTGACGACCACAAAGCTCGTGTCAGTGATCGCATGAGTGAAACCAAGCTGCCTTCTCAAGACTGTCATGGGTGATGTCAGAGAAGCTGTGTTAAGAAAAGTTTTATTACAAGTGCACTGAAGCTGGATTTTAAGAAATTTGCCATGATAACATAGCAAGTCAGTGGAGGGACAATTGGAAACGCCATCCCTCAATACAACCAGGCGACAAGATGCCACAATAATTTCCTTCAGCATGTTTTAATTCTCAAACACAGGTGGAAATTGTAGCTCATTTTGTAGATAGTATAGCACAAAAATGTATAATGACAATGAAGGAATTAAGGAAAAAATGATCTCAAAATTACAGAACCAATATTGGGTGCTAATGTGTGTAAACATCACCTCTTCTAATGTGCCAATATATGGGCATATGCTTCAGTGTTAGTTATGAAGATCAAGATGAAGAAAAGTTTTATATTGTAGGTAATAACTTTCTTTTATGAGAAATTTGTAACTGTGTGAAAGAAATTTTTCTTCAGGTTAGACAATTGGCAGAGTCCTCTTAGTGTATTGCATACAACTGTATTTGGTGATGCAAATCTTGGTGTGGTGTCATCGTTTGAAAACAGGAAAATATATTGACATGGATGTGCTCTCAAACTACTTGCAGAAATTGCATAAATGGAACATCATAAGTGCTTTCACAAAATGTAGGTTTAAGTTATTAAAGATGTCTAAACACAAAGTACATATAGAATTATCCATGTAAAAAGGGGTGTTACTCCCTCACATGGGTTTACTTTCGACCTATACATGATGAATTAACTCATTATAGAAAAATAAAAACAAAGTAAAATGCTTCCCAAGAAGTTTTTCAGCCATTTCAATTTATGAATGTAATTTTAAACAATCTGTGTCCAAACTTCCAATGCTGCATGAACCCTGAAGGCTATCTGTACTTCTGATGACTTGATATGAACTTCAGAGAAAAGCATTTTACTTGTATAACTAGATTGTTAAAAGAAAAAAAATGTAATGAAAATGAGAAACCTTTTATTGGTGTGACACTGAACCCTTGCCTTGTTACCATGATGTAGGTCAGATATGTTGGTCTTAAGTATAATGTTTTTTTTTCTCTCTCTCTCTCTTTTTTATTTTTTATTTTTTCTTAGGTTAGTGTTCTCCACAGTGTTGCACATATATATATAGTTGTGTATTCCAGGATCTTGATATTAGGTTATAGTACTTATTTTTTCATGTTTTTGTAAGAAACTTGTTTTGTTTCATACTGACAATGTGACCATTCACTTTATATTAATGTTTAAGTGTACTTTTTGTACAAACTTTTTTGTGTGAATGAGCAGATGAGCCAAGTTTGACAGAGTAAGCAGATGGTCCTCTTTTAAGAGTGTTCGAAATAGCCAGCCAGTTACCAGGTGCAAGGAACAGTTAAAGGCACAGATCCAGTCCATACCACGAAGCTATTTTCTGTAGATCTGACTGTTGCAAAAAAAAAAAAAAGAAAAAAAGAAAAAAAAGGACAAAAGATGGCTTAGACATCTCGCTGTACTAGAAGAAGTAGGGGAAAGAACATTGCCAATAACTGTCTTTGTTACTTAGTGAATGTCCAAATGTTTTTCAGCTATACTTATTACTCTTAAATTGAATAAATGAATGAAATATTGCCAAGGCTGGTTTATACGATAAGCATAATTTTCATGAGTTAAAAATATGTGATGTAGCATACTAAAGCATGAGTGAGGATGAGGATGTAAGAGATAGTAAGATGACCTTGAATATTATTTTTGAAGAAGAATTTTCTCAACTAGAGTAATTCCATTCTGTCGGGGTATGTTTTTATTGAAATTTATTTGTTACAATTGAGCTAATGACATGACTAAAACCGATTACTTTGGTTTGCTGAATATTTTAGCAATACAGACAGATTCCTGCAATAAGAAATTCAAAGTTCTGTGACCTATGAATGCATATCAAGCACTACCATAAGTTGCTTCATAATCATTGTTGTCTCTATATATCATGTAACTTGGTGCATCGTGGGCAGTGTTAAGGATGTTTCCTATGAACTTGGTCTCAGGTGTCAGGAGCACACTTGGTGGTGTTGAAGAAAATGGAAAAGGTCATGCTGTTATCTTCCTCTCTGATAAGCAGGGTAGCAGGGAAAGTGCCATGTATATATAAAAAAGGAAGGATCTTTTAAAATTATTAAAGAAAAAAGAGAGTGAAGAAGAAAAGAAAAGAAAAGAAAAAAAAAACATATCAAGATTGCCTTGAAATGCTGGGTGTGCCACTGAAGAGCCTACACACTGTTGTGAGAGCAATATAATAATACTCAAGTTGGTAGAGGCAATTCATCAGAGAATAACACTAAAGCATTCCTGTTTACCAGACCTACAGTAATGTGTAGGGGACATTTCACTAACATTTTCCTCAATTCCACCTTGCTGCTGCCATGACTGGATACTGTTTAATTTCTTTTGTAAGTCCTGTAGCAGAGTAATACACACAAAATGTAAAAGCATTGTCACGGTAACATCACAGTTTCTGAGGATGAAAAAGGTGTTATGTACAGATCTCTCTCCCTCTTCTTGCTGTTAAACTCTCATGATTAGAGTGTATACGTTTTCATT